GAGAGGAAGGAGAAATGGGGGGTGAATGCTGGTGGGTCGGGGTTTCTATTAGGCCTCGTGGCCAGCTTAGCATCAGCACAGCCAGGTTAAGCAACTTTCCCCTTTCTCCCCCTCCCCTTTTCCTTTTCTACTCCCAGGAACTGAGCAGCAAAATTCCTCTCCTGGGAAGGGGTAAACATGACCATTATCATCAAAGGAACATCTTGTGGGCTATGGAGCAGGCTTTGGGCTGGGGCGCTTTGCACTGATACAGTAGTGACACTAATTAGAAGCCTATGCCCTGACCGACCAGGTGTTAGCAGACTACAAGTGCTGTGTCACCCTGCATACCACTAATTTCGAAATGGCCCGTTACTCTGCAAGAACCCGCAAAGGCTTATAAACCCCTGCTTTCCTTTGTTCGGGGGAACTGATCTGACTCAGTCTCCCCTCCACATTAGTGGGATAAAGCTTTTTGATTAAAACAGCACCTGGCTCAGGTCTCTCTCCCTTTTCTCTGTCTCACGGAACCTAACAATTTCATCATGAGATGATGAAAATATTCTGGAATTAGTGGTGAGGGTTGCACAAATTTGTGAATATACTAAAAGCTATAACCCCTGCTTTCCTTTGTTCGGGGGAACTGATCTGACTCAGTCTCCCCTCCACATTAGTGGAATAAAGCTTTTTGATTAAAACAGCACCTGGCTCAGGTCTCTCTCCCTTTTCTCTGTCTCACAGAACCTAACAATTTCATCATGAGATGATGAAAATATTCTCGAATTAGTGGTGAGGGTTGCACAAATTTGTGAATATACTAAAAGCTATTGCATCGTGCACTTTAAAAGGATAAATTTTACGGAATGTGAATTATATCTCAATTTTAAAAAATGAAAGAGAGGAAAAAAGTGACCCTGCCTCCTCTGGACTTGTACACTTCCTGTGGCCAATTGATTCATCGATAAATATAACTGAGAGACCACAGCTTGCTAGCGCTGTGCTGGCGCTGAGTTACGTGAAGGAGTAAGACCCAAGCCATATACATTGCACAGGCCAGAGAGAGACAAGTAACCATACAGTTATAATTTAGAGTGATAAGTGTCATAATGGAGGTAATGGTGAGTTAACACTGGCTGGGTACCTATGTTACATCCGGCACTGTTGTAAGTACACAGTACGTATTAAGTTATTTATTCCTCCTGTCAACCCTATGAGGTAGGAACTCTTATTAGCCCAAAGCAAGGCACACAGAAGTGATGCCACACACCCTTATCAGCCAGGAACCAGCAGAGCTAGATTTTGGACCTGAGCAGGCTGGCTCTAGGTCTGTGCTCTTCACCAGTACACCCCAGTGCTCACAGACAGACACCAGGTGCTCTGGGAGCACAGAGGGGGCACTTGCGCCTGCGTGGAGGGCTGCCACTTGCAGTGCATCTGCACTTCTGGTCTAGGATGTCTGTTCGTCTCGCTTCACCGCGAGGGCAGGGCTCCTCCCACGATGCACAGTACAACGGGCTTGCTTGCGTGTGGAAGCAGTGCAGAAAGGAGGGGAAGGAGGGAGGACGAGGGGAGTACTTCTTACTCTGCAAACCACAGTTCTTTCAGGCTGAGCATCATGGGGTTCACTGTGTGCAGGTGTTCCTTGTTCCACCTCTTGGCGCTCCTGCAGACATTGTGCCAGGGCACGGGGGCCCGGATCACTCTTTGAGGGAACAGGCGAGGGATGCTCGCGATGAAGAGCCTTTCCCTCTCCATCGGGTCCATGAGGATGTAATCAACTGTAACCAAAAGGCAAATGCCCTGTTACTAAGTGGGGACCTGGAACACCCTGTGCTCCCAGCCTCTGTGCATTTACACGGGACAGGCCCCTTCATTTGCAAGGCCATGGGTGTAACTCAGCTGGGGAAGTTTCACTCTGTTGGGTGTGTTTTCTTTCTAAGGGTATTTTAGGGGAAGAAGGAACGTAGCTTCACAGTTTGGAGCACTTAGAACCTGGGGCTGAGTCCTGTTAGGCTATCCAGCGTCATACATGACAATGAACTAGTATTTGCTAAATTACTAGTCATTATTGATTTCTCACACCACAATAGTTACACAAAAAAGTCAACAATAAATAGTACCAGATACTTAAACGAATGGAAATTTACAGACCAAATATTTAACGTGCTAAGGAAAGAAACACTGGTAAAAGCTTCATAGAGGAAGTAACATTTGTGCTGGGTCATAAAGAACAAGGGTTCGTTCCACAGGAAAAGAGGATAAAGCGCTGGGGGCAGGGGGCAGCATGGGAGGGGTGCACGCTGTCACTTTTGCTGACTGCTCAAGGACCTGTGAGCTACACTGTGGCAGAAATAGCAGGTGTAAGTCCTTAAGTTAAAGGTGGTAGGACTGGAGAAGTAGGTTGGAGCTGGAATTGAAGGACTCCACAAGTTTATTCCTAGGAGCATGGTTGTATATTGTGGTAGACAAGGGGCCATTACACTGACACCATTAGAAAGATAGTTAGGAAAATAAAAATAACTAGACAACTTGGTTAAGAGAGCTGTTGTGCAGAGACAACAGCAAGGTGGGGATGTAATGGGATCACCCCTCCCTGTTGATGTTTTTCTCACATTACTTACCAATCATGTAATATCTCCCAGTGACCTGGTGTGTGCACAAGACACTGGGCTAAGCATAAAGGGGAACCAGGTGCTCCACCACCAAAGAGCTCACAGTCTAACAAAAAACCCAAGACCCATGAGAAATGAAATGTGCCCATGCTACGCAGCAGCAGGGAAATTCCAAAGCGGAGATGAGAAGTGCTGTGAGGGCAGAGAATGGAGTGACCACTGAGGGTTGCAGAGAAAGAAAAAACACTTGAGAGAAACGTAGATCTTGCGCTGGATTTGCAAGTTTGAGGAGGCCCTTTGCTACTCAAGGTGTTGCCCCAGGGTCTGTCGCATCTGAATCACATGGAAACTTGTTAGAAATGTGGAATCTCAGGCTTCACCCCAGATTCAGATCTACTGGATCAGAATGTGCATTTTAAGGAGATCCCCAGGTTACATGCATGCATGTGGTTAAAGTGTGGGAAGCGTTGATGCAGACATTAGTGATGGGTGCAGGAGGGAAGAAGCATTTGAACTGAAGATTAGATGATGTTTCTGACATTTCAGTGAAACCAGGATGGCAACTGATCAAGTGAGAGGACAGAGGTGCTCTCCACATAGGACCACTGCCCCACTTACGCCCAGCCTCACCGATGCTTTTCATGAGGCTGCTGTAGTAGTCATTCTGCTTCTCCTCCACGAGGGTGACCATCAGGGGTTCCAGGAGGGGACTGGTCAGCAGCGTGTTAGAAATCAGCTTTGAAATCCGGACCATCACTTCGTTCTCCTCAGGGGCAATCATGTCTTTTTGGATTCCATGGGTCAAATAATAATAGTATCTCTTCCATAAACAAACCACCAACAAGAAAAGGATGGTGATTGGATAACTGTGTCCACCTGTCCCACCCCTCAGCTGCCAGGGGACCCGGTACACACAGCACCACCCTCCCCCTTCTCTTGCTGCAGTTGTGCATTCTGGGCCTGTCACTTCACACCCCTTGCAATGAACGAGATCACTGGCAGGTGTTCCCCAGAACTCCCGAGGATTCAACCAAAGCCAGAGAGGTTTCAGTGGGGTGTAAGGGATGGCTTGTCAAATGCCACACAGATAGGAACAGTGGGATGAGTACAGAGGCCAGGGATGGAGGTGGCATACCTGGTGACCTTTACAGGAGGAATGGCGAGCTTCTAAAATGGACTCAAATACCTCACCCTCCTGAACAGCAGTGACCCCTACAAAGTACTTGGATCCTGTAGCTTGTAGCTGTCAGTGGGGAAAATATCCCCAAAGTCTGAGTAAGGTAGGATAATTTTTCTAATCGGACCATGGGCTTTTTAGTTTGGAAAGCAACATAGACATACAAACTAAACAGAAATGGCCAGTGTGATCTGGTGACTTCAGGAAGTTTTGTTTATTGAGGGCTTGTCTCTAAGCAGCTGGATGGCTGAGCGGCTCTGGGGATGAATAGTTTCAGAAGGAGGGAAGTCCTACGTGTGGGGAGAGGGTTTGAAGTCAGCTTTGAGTATCAGTGCCGACTGTCTGTGGTCAGAAGGGGCTGCTCTGATACCCGCAGCTCACCTCTCTCCAGACCTTATGGAAGCAGCTTTTACAGGGCTGCACTGCCAAACCTCCCTGATTTAAGAACTTCCTGGGTGGGGGGTGAGAGGGTAGGGCTCTCATTAAAATTCAGATTCCTAGGCCAATCCCCAGGCCGTTGGGGGTTTTAACAAGCACCCCAGGTGATTCTTCAGGCAAGTTTGAAAAATGCCGTGTAGCTCTTAAGAGCGCAGAGATTTGGGTATCAGCTAGACCTGGTTCAAGTCCTAGTTTTGTCTCTTACTGCTTAACCTTGAGCGAGTTGCTTAATAATGGGCATAATCACAGGACCCAGGTCTTGAATGGGATTGAGCAGCCAGAGCATTTAGCCAATTTTGCCAATTGCACATGCCCAGTCACTGCGAGTTCTTATTATTAATTTTTTTATTATACACTATAAACCTGCAAGCTATTTGCTCTAAAGCTTTATTCTTCTTTTAAGATAGGGGGTGGAAACTCAAATGCCTATCTGGAGCCAGGCAGGTAATGTTAATAAGTGAAAGTTGGCTGGACATAAGAAGATATGGGGACTGTGAGAAACTAGAAAATGTATTTCTCATCTAAAGGAGGTAGCTACTGCTCAGCTTCTAATATTTTAGTTTTTTCAAGAGAGGTTAGAAATCTAGCTTATGTGAAATTTCCATCCTTTTCAAAACACATCTACAGGCCCAATTCAGCCTATAGTAGGGTTGCCAGATAAAATATAGGACACATTGGGATATACCTATGTCAAAAATTATGCATTGTTTATCTGACACTCAAATTTAACTGAGTGTCTGGTTGTTTTGTTTTTCAAAACCCGGCAACCACAGCCTACAGGCCATCATTCTGCAGCCTACGTTCTAAGAGGACACAAAGGCACCAATTTCCAAGACTTATTAGAGCAGAGAACTCTCTCTCTCTCTCTCTCTCTCTCTCACACACACACACACACACACACACACGCACACACACACCCTCATTCAGTAGTCTGTCATGCGGTCTGGACACACACACACACACGCACACACGCACACACACACACATCCTCATTCAGTAGTCTGTCATGTGGTCTGGACACACACACACGCACACACACACACACACATCCTCATTCAGTAGTCTGTCATGCGGTCTGGACACACACACACGCACACACACACATCCTCATTCAGTAGTCTGTCATGTGGTCTGGACACACACACACACGCACACACACACTCATTCAGTAGTCTGTCATGCGGTCTGGACACACACACACACACACGCGCGCACACACACACACACACACACACACATTCTCATTCAGTAGTCTGTCATGCGGTCTGGACACACACACACACACACGCGCACACACACACACACACACACACATTCTCATTCAGTAGTCTGTCATGCGGTCTGGACTCTGGCATTTGTAAAACATTCTCCAGGTGATTCTCCTGTTCCTCCCCAGTTTAGAATCAGTGGGACCCCAAGAAAAATACTTAGCAAACTGAGGGAAAGGGGACACCGAGGATGTACCTCCAGGTCTGATTCCGATGGTCTGCTTTCTTTACTTTCCACTTCCATCTCCTGCTGTAACATCATGTCGATCTGCTGTTCTGGACTCATCGGTCTGCTACCCGGGAGGGTGAAAGAGATCTTCACCTCCTTCCTCAAGGGTGAGGGGGCCAAGGCATTGCAGGCTGACTTGGTCCTGAAAAGTAGACACAGCTCAGTCCTTCGTGCTTGGTTATCTGCGGAGGTGCCGCGGTGTCAGGCCTACTTTCTCCAACCCGATGAGTGTGGGTCTGCAAAGAAGACCCTTTTCTCTGTGTCATCCACTGGCGTGTGTGTGTACTTCAGACATGACCCTAACTGCTGAACACCTCGGAGGTATGTTAGCACCAGTTTTGCTTATTTATTTTTGTTTATAGCCTTAAAAAAAACTTTTGGATTAAGGTGCCGGGTGGAGAAAAGCATGAGTCACTCTGTGTCTGGGAATGGTTTAAAGCCAAGAAGCAGAGCATGGCTTTAATGAGAGCACAACCTTCCTGGCTCAGCCCAGTGTCCTGCATTCTCTGGTGCCCACAGTGACACCTTACCCAGTGGGATTCTCTTTGTCTCTGGAGAACTTCATTTTCTTCTTGTTGGGCTCTGATGAACTTTTAGTTGCTGGAAGAGTGAAGAAGAAAGACGTGAGTAAAGGGGCCATTCTCTGTCCACAGGGACAGGACTCTTGGGACAGTCTAGGAGCACACTCAAGGGAGTAGACACAGAGTGGTGGCGCAAGGCAGAAGATGTGGGCCCTGGTCCCATGTGCATCACTAATTTCCTGCGTGACACTGAAGAAATGACTGCACCACTCCAGGCCTCAGCTTCCCCAACTGTAAAGTGGGGATGAGCACATCTTCTGTCCACTCACTTGACAGGTATTAATAACTGCCTGCTGACTCACTCCCCAACACTGTATGCTCCAGCTCCTAAACAGCAGTCGTGTTCTTTCTAAACATCAGTCGTAATATGTCCCTTTAAATAGACTCAGGCTTTTAAACTTAATGCATTTATTTTTAAAGGAAATTTTATGTGATTGTTACAAATAGAAAAACTAGTATCATTGGCAATAAATATAGTGACTATAAAAAATTTCAATAAGTAATACAAAAAAAATCTTATTAAACTTTAGCTAGATACTGTTACTTGGTAAGACCTCCAGCCTGAGGAAATTAATAAGTAACAGAAGTGTTTAAGACATACTAGTATTAAATTGACACTTTTGAGGGAATCACGAAAATTGAAGACTCCCAGTCAAGATGTATTCTGAGTTCACACTTTGAGTTTCTCAATATACTCAACACAGCAATAATAGACAAAATACTCTCTAAAAATTAAAAAGACATTGCATTGTTCAACAAGATACTCTTCTGTGTGAGCCAGAAATACACACAATGTGAAGTAAAAGTCGTAAACTTGGCTTCAGGGTGCAGAAGCAGGTAGAAGTAGTCAGGAGTTTGACACCTGGAGAGTAACAGAATCCCGAACACACCACGACGTGCGGAACTGGAACTGGTCTCAGAGCACAAAGCCAGGACTGAAGCAAGGCCTTGCTACCCATGAACACAAGCTGAAAAGGCAGCAGCACCATCATGAGATAAAGTGCTTGTGTCCTCAACTCACATGGCAGCTACAGAAAACACAGAAAGGCCTGTGATGGCTGGCCAAGTCTCACACTGTCTCAGGACCCAGACCCATGAGATGTCCAAATATCATCTAGGATAGAAGCCCCAAGCCACCAGTATAAGACCTCAGGGAGAATCTGGGGTCCTAAGAGGCCAGATGAAAGTATAAGAAAAAACGCTAGATTAAGAAGGGTGAGCCAAGGGAGAACACACTGTATGATTACATGCATCTATGACAACAAGCAAAACTGATCTCTGGTGACAGAAATCAGAAAGTGGTTACTCTGGGGTGGGATGGTGTGGGATAGGAGAGAGAGATGGTTGGAGAGGAGAAGCAGGGAACTTTCTCTCGTGGTGGAAACGCCCTATATCTTGTCTGAGTGGTGGCTCTACAGTATAAACAATCGTTGAAACTCACTGAACTGAACATTTAAGATCTGTACATTTTACTGTGTGTGAATTATAGCTCAATAAAAAATGGGGTGGGGGAGAGATGCATCAAGAAGAGGAAAAACCCCTCAAATAAGCCTGTAAACTGGAATCTCAGAACCCATGAGGAAAACCAATATTAAGAAAGATAACCAATAAACTCAACAATTGACGGATAGATTCACAACATGGAAATTACACAGCAATACCAATATTGCTCCAAAATAAATGTTTAAGATCCTCAAAGTACAACTGTATTTTAATGAGTAATAACAAGAAATCAACTCAAGCAAGGACTTGAACAGTAGATAACAGTGCCTGTCCTGAAGACAGCACCTTAGCAGTTTATGCTCAAAGACTCTGGCTTCGCTGAAAATTCTTGTGACAATTAAATCTGGGAGGCATTCTTCACAGATACTAACAATTTTGGAAATACAAAATGGGAAAAATGTAATCTTCGAATTAACTACTACTTAAGAAAAGTTCTAAATAATGACTGCTATGGACTGAATGTTTATGTCTACTTCAAATCATAAGTTGAAACCTAATCCCCAATGTGATGGCATTTGGAAGTGAGGGCTCTGCCTTCATGCACGAGATTGTGACCTTATGAAATAGACCCCAGAGCTGGCTGGTTTTCTCGGTTAGTTAGCACATAGTGTTATAACACCAAGGTCGAAAGTTTGGATTCCTGTACTTGCCAGTCACGAATTAAAAAAAAAAAGACCCCAGAGAGATCCTTCACCCCTTCCCCCATGTGAGCACACAACCAGAAGACAAAGGTCTACGAACCAGGAAAAGGGCCTCCACCAAACACGGAATCTGCCAGAATCTTGACCTTGAACTTCTCAACCTCCAAAACTGTGAGAAATAAATTTCTGTTGTTCATGAGCCACTCAGTTCATGGTACTTTGTTATAACAGCCCAAATGAACTACGATAATAACACTGAAATTAGCAGTTAGAGCAGCAAACTTAAGTTTCTGGGTATCAAGATCTGAACATATGGGTATTTAATGTTTGCTGCACATGCTTGAAGCAGGAACATGTGAAGACAGCATCCTAGAGACTGTACATGTGTATTGAATAAAAATAACACTGATGAGAACCACTTGGAAAAAAAATCCTCTACATGATACTGGAAGGGATATAACTATAAGAATAGCATAAGAAGTTGGAAATGGTCAGGAAGACGGCCAACTAGAAGGAGACATCACTCGTCTCTCCCACAAAGACGGAGAATGCATCTAGAGCGCAATTATACTTGGATGAGAAAAACGAAAGGAGGGAGAGCTGGAACGCACCAAGGGAGTAGTGGAAGCATTGGTGAGTGCAGAAACTCATGATAACCACAAAGAGAACGGAAAAATCCTCAGCCATCACCACCCCACTCCCTGATCCAGAGTGACTGGGGATTCAGGAGGAGTTTTTGCCTGCAGGAATGTGAGAGAATTGGCAGCCCAACCCGGGGAGAGCTGGCACAACCCTTGCGGCCATGTACTTGGTATTGGGGACCGCTGCAGGCATGCACGATCCAGAGTGACTGGGGATTCAGGAGGAGTTTTTGCCTGCAGGAATGTGAGAGAATTGGCAGCCCAACCCAGGGAGAGCTGGCACAACCCTTGCGGCCATGTACTTGGTATTGGGGACCGCTGCAGGCATGCATGACTGTGTTAGTCTGGGGAGGCATGCATGTGGAACTGTTCCCAGACCTGGTTCCCAGACTGCTGTGGCAAGCCTGGGACCGGGATCAACCTTTAGCTTTGGTACTTTGCTCTGAGAATGGATGGTTCAGGGCAGTGAGGGTGCCACCACCAGGATGGAGTGGGTCAGTGGACCCACCCTCAAGACTAGAAAACAGCTTATTTAGGTCTGGTGCCTGTTGTCAGTGACTCTGCCTGTGTTGGTGGGATGACTGCACAATACTTATAGCTGTAAGGAGGGAGAGGAGAACACATATGCCTCTCTCAGAGGTGGCTCTGTGGCCATGCACCTGGTGCTGGGAACTCCTGGTGGCACACCAGACTGAACTGACCCAGAGAGGGAAACGCAGTCAATCGCTCCCACCCTCCACACACCAGGCTTCTGTAGCAGTCCCAAATTTGAGATTGGCCCCAACACCCGAGAACATTTCTCGTTGGCCCCTGCAGAGGCCACTCCCCTGTGGCCACATCTTTGCACTGGCTTGCCCACACCTGCGTCCAAGTGGTGTTCTGCTCCCTGGGAACAGCTGGTCCAGTGCAGCGAGGGTGTGACCTTCAGGACATGCGGGGTCAGCATGCACACTTTACAGAGTCAGAAAACCACCTAATTGGGAAGCCTAGCCTCTGCTGGCAACCCCATCTTCTTTGGTGAAGTGCCCTTGCAATTTGTGCAGCCATGGAGAGGTGGTGGGGGACTTGTGAATCTCTCTTGGGCACAGACACACACCTGCAGCACTAGTTAGTCTATGGGCTGTCTACCCCAGCAAAGAGGCTTCAGAGGGATCCAGCATCTTTCTCAGGGGCACAGCAGCCCACCCACAACCCCAGCAGCCTCATGTGGAACAGCCCACCCCAGCTGAGGAGATTCAGAGTGTTCCAGTAATGCTGTTAGGGTCAGAGAGGCCTGTCTACAACCACAGCAGCCTCTCCCAGAGTGGCCACACCAGCTGAACAGCTACAGAGGGCCCCAGCATCCGTCTTGGGGTGAAGGTTCCCACCCAAAACTACTAATACCTCTCCCAGAGCACCCAACTTTAACAGTGGTGCTGCATACCATCTCAGTGTCCCTCCTCAGAGTGCAGAACCCCCCACACAAATCCAGTAACCCAACTCAATGTTGCCAACTCCAACAGTGAAGTTAAAGAGTATCATCTCAACAACTCCCCTGGGGGTACAGGGCTCTGCCAGAGCTCCAGTGACACCATTGAGTCACCCATTCTAGCTGAGGGGCTACTGAGCACCCCATTATCCCCCTCAAAGCCTAAGGTTCTAATCACAACCCCTAGTAACCCTGCCCAGGGTTATCCAATTAAGCTGAGGAACTTCAGATCACCCCAGAGCACCTATCAGGGTCACGAGACACTAGCCAGGGTTCCAGCAAGGCTGCTAAGGGTCACTCTCCTCATCCAAATAGTAATGGGGCATCTAAACACTTCTAAGAACCCAAGATCTCACCCACGATTTCAAAGACCCAACCCAGTATACCTCACTTCAGCAAGGAACTGAAGGCAAGAAAATGAATGCCCCAGTGCCCAGGCCATGGAGGCACTCACAGACAACTTTGATGTCG